TCTAAAGCCTATGTCACACTACGGATTAGGATTGAGATTGGATTGCAATTGGGGCCAATCAGAGCGAAGATTACCAAACTTAGGATTGGTTTTCTTTCTTCTGATTGGTCAAATTTCAATCCAATCTCAATCCCAATCCGTAGTGTGACATAGGCCTAATCGTACGTGTCCAATATTACGTGTGCAATCGTACTGTGTCCAATTGTACCGTGGTCAAATGGACGTCACCCGCCAGAACTGCCGCTGTGTGCATGACGTCACGCACACAGATGGTGTGCGTGCCCCCATTGCTTGATGCTCTCGTTGCTCTCTGCTCGATCTTGCAACTCTGCATGCAACTGCATCCTAACCTAACCTAACCTAACCTAACCTAACCTAACCTCCGAAAATGACGACGATTACGTATATTTGACGTTAAAAATTGCTAAAACGTAGAATGTTTTCTAAAACGAGTGCTTCAGTAGGAATCATTACGTTGACAAATTATGGCACTTCTTCGAGTAGATAAGTCGAAAATTTGTTGTGCGATTCGAGGATACGGAACTCAAAGGTTAGATTTTCGTCTTATTTTTGTGCTAAATATCAAAACACGTAACTTGTGTTTTATTGATAATGTATATTTAAAAATATATAAGATATTTAAGAAGATCAAATTCCTAATTAGATTTTCAAGTTAGTTAAAATAAAATCTAGAGTATAAGAATTGAGATACAGTCATGTGATTTTTGTTTGTTACCACTAATTTCACTAAAATCGACTAAATCACATAATATAATACATATCTACAACAAAATGTGATTACATTTTTACTCAAGATTTTTTTAACTAAAAAACTTGGAATGTTTTATTTAAAGGTATCAACAGAATCACTATGATACTCTAAATGTTTCTTCTGATGCGTCACAGAAAGAGATTAGACAAGCCTTTATTAAATTGTCAAAGCAAGTATGTAGCATATTTTATAGAGATAGTTTATTTAGAAAAAAAAATTACAAATTAGCTTTAACAAGATAAATGCTAGCAGTTTTATTACATGTTTTTTTTTAATTCTCAAAACATACAACTTGTAACTGTTTTTATTAGCTACATCCCGATACTAGTGGAAAACAAAGCAGTCATGCTGATTTTGTTAAGTTAAATGAAGCCTATTCAGTTTTGGGAAAAGAAGGTTCAAGACGTCAATATGATTTTAATTTGAAATGTAATAGTTATGCTCCAAGCTACACATACAATTCACAGAACATGTAAGATATAAAGTATATTTCTTTAATGAACACATACATAGTTGTGAAATATCGATGTAATGACAAATAATTCTATAATATTATTACGCACACACAACAGTATGTTTATGTAAGCACATAATGTATCTAGTTAATAGTAGAACAAGCACATGTTGTTTCTTCATCATTCATCAAAAAAGTATAATTTGTATAAACACTTTGTATTTATGTAATTTTATTGATAGTTAAAAATGCAATATTGCAGACGATACGGAAGTCAATGGGAATATGAGGTACGTACAGCAGGAGGGCCATGGCCACCACCTCAGCAAAAGTCAAATGCTATTTTTGGACTTATAGTTGCTCTTTTATTCTTGGGTGTGGGATTCTTGCAAGTTATTTTTCATCTTCACACTATGAGAATGAGAAAGATTAGAAATGCACATAATAGCTTGGAACGTGAATATCAACGTGTTCGATATGGAGCTCATACAAAATCTAATCAGTTTATTATAGACAATTTTGAAGATTTCATAAAAGATCGTAATGAGTACCTGATCAGTGACTGTAATGATAGTTAGTAAGTTAGTGACTTCATTGAATAATATATTTAAAGGTTTGTTGTATATTTGTGCATTTTCTTTCCTACATTTTCTTAATTGTTAGCTACCTTTCATACTGAATAGCGTGCGACGTACAGTGAAGCTTTGATTAATTAAAGTAAGAGACATTGTTACCTCAGTGTGAAAACCAGCTTACAATTCAAACAGTTTTCTGAGCGAGATAGTAAAAGTAATTTAAAAAATTCATCTTTAACATTGTTTAAATTTACAGGTAAAATATTTTAAAAACCACAAATTTTACATACATATAGAGCATTTTACTAATAAATGTGTTCTTGATATATTTATTCAATTGAAAAGTTAAAAATTATACATACTATAATATATACACGTAATTTTGACGTAATTTTTCAAAGAATCTTTTTTCTTTTATTGTTGTCAGTATAAAGTGTACACAAAATATTTAAGTTTTCAAATTAAAACAACTATATAAATGAAAACTGAAAATTTTTAACTTTGTGTTTATAATTTCCTAAAGCAGAATTCCTCGTCTGGATTTTTAAATTCGCGGCACACTAACAATAAGCCAGAGCTAAATTTGCCAAAACTTTCACACTCACTGTGTTTCTTTCTCTTTTCTTTCTTCTTTCTTTTTATTAGTTTCGTGCGATTATTTTTATTTGTTTCTCAATATCTTTCTCATTTCTTTTAATCTCAAGCTCTTGCGACTTGCGACGCATGTATGGATTCTTTGCTTGCACACCAAGTTAAAAACTCTGCTTTGGGGCATACTTCTTTCAGATTCTACTTATCTCAAATTTCAATTTAATTCTATCAAATTTTACTGGGAGCAGATTTAATCTTGTGTGTTATAATTTTTTTACGTAACTGATAGCCGTTGTATGAGGCGACGCTGGTGAAAATATCGGCTGTCCGTTTTCATCGACGTAATCAGTATAATTAAGTGTGTATATCGCGTCAAACCCGAGACGTGCGCATAATTTACCAGAGAATAAAGATGTACAATCCGCCCTGATATAATGAAATCCTTGTTCTTTCGCAATTTCTCTGTAATATAGATAATTTGCACTTGAGAGAATATACATCAATTTACTATAATAATAATATTTAAATTTATTTTAGTTTTTGTGTTTAGATATTGTCTCATTTCAGGTTTTCTTAACATTATAAATAATTTGAGTAACGTGTAGAGGGTTATCTTCGGGTTCTAAATGGTTAATCTTATGTATATGAATTTTGAAACCTATGTGTATGAATATTTAAATTTTGTAATTTATAGTAATCAACTACTGAAGATGACTCAATAAAAGAAGTCGAAACGTCTAGATTATACACGTCTCTAATTTCTTGCATAACATCGTGCAATTTGGTTCTTCCTGGCCGAATTCACAACACTTCATACACATAGGATTATAAATAATATTTAAAAACTGTGTCATCTTAATTTTAATTGATTTTGATTGTTAATTTCGTTACTCACGTTGTTTTTTCTATGAGAGTCTTTGCAACACCTTTTCCTCGCCAGTTTGTGTCTACCGAAATTATTCTTATTTCTAAGACATTCAAGTCTCGGAATCGTCCGTCAACATTCACATTTCTATCTATGTGATGTAGTAATTTCAATATTTTTTTAAATTTTGCGTTCTTACATAATCGTATGTATTCTGGCTCTTCTTCATCCAGCGGAGGATCCATTTTACCTACAATGAAAAAATAACTAGATACAATTAAGTTGTACCTAGTAAATCGCCGACAATTCTTTTACTCGTCTTTATTTTAACACAAAAAGAGAAATTTATACAAAGTTTTATAGAAATCAGCATAAATGTAAATTGTTTTCGGAATTAGAGCGAAAATTATTACATTGTAACTTTACCGTTAAGCAGAACCCCAATAATCCCACCATTGGCGGAAACTGCCATCAGACTCAAATTATTTTCAAACGATGCGTAGCTGCAATAATCCTCCAGTTCCACGCAAGTACTATCTTCACCTTCCGGAATCAGTTGAATGCTTTGATTGAGTGGTTCGTCTCTAAAGAAGAATCTTCTCAAAAACTTCAGTACTCTCAATTTGTCATTCTTGGTAATTATTTCAATATGATAGTCCATATCGTTATTTGATCCGTCAGCCGAATCGGCCAACTATAAAATAAGAACATTTTTTATGATATAATAGTAATTTTTCTTAAATAGGAGAAATATAGTAATGAAAAAGATAATAATATAAACATGATTTTTATTTTTCAATAAAAAGTTTTATCATGAGTAATAAAATTTTATACAATATGTACTTGTATAAAATTTAAACATTTAATATACGTAGTATGTATGTGTGTAATATAAATATATTAATAGTGTAGTAAAGATAGTAATAGTAACCGCTTGTTGCTAATCCGGAAGTGTCATATATACGAGAGCAGTTAAATATTTTTTTAAAACTTCTCTGCGCGGAGATGGAAAAAATGCAATAATTGTAAAAATGAAAAAGACAAAGGATAGTTTAGCTGTCTGATGTTATAAAAAAAAGATCAAAATAGATTAATTTCTTTAAAATTACTAATTATAGAGTGAAACATCTAAGTTGCACATAAGAGGCATTTTGAAGATTTTAAAGTTAATCTTTGTTAAATGGATGGCTATATTTTTTTATTCCATTTTTGTATATACTATTTTTCCGTACAATGTATAATTTCCAAATGTTGCAAAATGCGCAAGTTAGATATCTTACCTATAATTTTGGTAAAAATATCAATTAATGTAAATTTTTTAATAGTACGCATAGAACGTTGCACGCGTACTTGTAAAAAATATACATAATTTATATTTCAGTGAGAAAACTAATTCTAAAAAAAGATTTTTTTATAATTGGAACACACGTTTAATGCGGTATCACATAATTTTGAAAATAAAAAACGATAAATAGCATAATTTATGCAGAACGGTACAATATACATAATTGGGAAAGAACAAGAAATTTAATGGAATAGTGTCCTAATTTTCTCTTCTTTTATAGATTGTTAAACTATTATCGTGCTGATGCGCGTGAGACATACTTGTTTATACAATTGCGATTTCTCAAACATAGCACAGTCAACGTCACCCAGTGTTAATTTGTCAGTGGTCTACTTCTAGGTAGTGATTTATTAGAGCCGATGTATGTGAGAACACAGAATGCATATAACGCGTTTTAATGCAAAGATTCACAAACAATACACAGATTAGGTTTAAAACTAAAATAAAAAAATACAATATAAGAGATTTTATTTTAAAAATATATATTTACGCAGTGTACTCAAAACTTTGAGAGAGAAAACTTTAATTGTAAATTAAAAAATTCATTCAAATTGTGATAATAAATCTCTATTTGTTTTTTTTAATTTGCATTGTTAAAAAAATCGTCTCATGTGACTTCCTTTGTTTGAAATATTACTCTATAACATTCTAAACTTTATCTTTGTTTAAAGTGCCAAAATAAATTGGTCGTAATAATAACTGCATTTAAGTACAACGCGTTATTACTTTTCCATAATAATTCACTTTGAAGATGTATTCTTTCTTATCATCACTCGAGTTACGTCATGTCAAGAGAAGCATATCCTTAAAAGATCTAACAGGCGGCGTTTCTCTCAGGATAATTCATAATCTGCGTAATAATATCTGATGTCTCACAATTACTGTGAGAAAATGATTAGATCATCATATCAACTCGTAGAAAACATATTTGCTTGTAATCATATGACTGAGACAAACAATGTGAAACATGTTTCGTTTGTTTGGAAATATTACATGCATATGTTTCGAAAAGTTAAAATGTTTTATTAAACTTAATAAAACAAATAACTGTAAAACAGTTTCTTTTTGAGATGTAATCTCGATATAATAGATGTGAAAAAAATGAAACGACAAAATTTTTCAAAAACACCCCACAATTTTATAGTAAAATGATAAATTTATAATGTATAATTTATAGATATAATATTAATATAATGATTGACTATAAGAACACGAGAACTGAAATAATAATGCTTGCCAATGACGCTTGATGATTGTCAATAAGAATTTACACAAATAATATTAATCCTCTGATTTGTTTCATGATTGTTGTAAATTAGTGATATATGAGTTTCTCGAAGTTATGTGACGATTTTAATTCTACTTTTAAAGTAAATTTTCATGTGATAAACTGCAGTGTGCAACGTTAAATTCACAAAACACACATCAATGCAAATTTTAAAATCAACAATATTACGCTCTTGAATGATTGTTTTATATGATTGATTTTTTTAAACTTCTTACCGTATATCTCGAAATTTTCGGCGCATCTTTGACGAAACTAGTTGTCGTTTTGTTGACATCGATATGAGTTATATCGAATATATTTGCGTGTATGTTTTCCATGACGAACGGTGAAGTGTTTACAAGTTATATTTCATTTGTTCGTTGAATAAAGCTTGAAGACAATAACAACCGAGATGTTCAATACGTGAATTATAAGGAACAACTGAAAATGAATTCCAAGCGCTAACAACACGATGCTTGTTTGCTGTCGTCGAGGTGGTAATCTAAGACTGCGCATTGTGATAGAACGTCGTCTGTCTTATATACGTTTAGAATCAGCAGAAGGCGTTCTTACACAAGTTCGAGATATAGTTTAGGGGGTGTTTAAGATCGACAACGCCTCCGTTTACATTTTCATATCAATACCTAATTAGCCTTGTATCTGTCGATTAATCTTCTAGCGGCCATCACGTTTTTATATCGCAGCTTTGCAAAAATTTATCACGGTAAACTGGATTTACGTTTTTTTACGTAGTTTTCCATTGAGGTGTGTTTCAATTATGTCGCAAAAAAAGTGAGAATACGAAATCAGATAAAATTTGAGACAATTTACTTTAAGTGATTCTGTTTGGAATAACAATTTCGTATTTGCAATGAAGTCGCTCGTTTGTAATTTACTTTTACGTTATTGTAATGTACAATTCAGTATATTAAACAATTTAATGTTATTTCTTTCTGAAAACAAAGCAACAGAAATTCAAATTGTGCAAGTATAATATATATGGTTATATATTATACTATATGTTTTGGCAGCATTTTGCGAATTATGTATTTCATAAAAAGATACATGCATATCTATATGTTTACGTAAAATAGTTTTTAAAATAAAATAGCTTGCAATACACGTAATAACGCAGATTGTTGTAAGAAATAATAACTTATAATTGGTAAATTCATATATTTTTAACAAATATGACTGACTACGTTATGTAAGATTAATTGACATCGGAAGAACACAGCGTTAAAAGAAAAAGAAAAAGAGAGAAACAAAAATCGAATATAAAAACTTCGTACTTGGAAAGTATAATAAAATAATTTGTCCAAATCAGTTGTGTTCATTTATCGTTTTGTTCATATATAAATAAACAAAGAAGAAACACGAGAGAATATAAACACGTGTATAAATTATGTATATGTATATATATATATAATATATATTGATTTTTAACGTTTAATTATAACGGATGATTACTTATTGCAATTTATAATACTTCTGACCATTACATTTTACATCGAATAGAAAAATCATTACAATGTAGGAAAAAACCGGTTTTTGCTCAACTGTGTTGTCTCGTAATTTTTACACGATCATGTACTGAGGTCGTTTACGCCCTTTTTTACACAATACAATTGCGCTATAAGTATGGAACGGAATATACCAAAGTCACCGATTGATCATTCTTGTCGATCTATCGGTGCGAAGGTCGCCGATGATCATACGTATGACCGTGCAAACATACTAAAATAAGACATGATACCTTGAAGAGTACAGCAACTAGGATCAACACAGTTCAAGTGTAAGGTTATCCTTGTCCTTAATATGATTGATCGATTTTCTTGTTTAAATTTCATCTAAGAAGAATAAATTTACAACTTGCTACATATGAAGAAATAATAATGTTTATGAGTTGTTTGCTAAAACATGAATGTTAATTCAAACCAAAAGAATTAAGAGAAAGCCGTAACAACATGCAAAAAAAGCAATGTCATTTATTTATTCAAACATTAGAACTAATAACATTATTTTTTAAGAGTTAAAGAAACAAAATCTTTTTTTTTCGTCAAATTTTTCTAGAAAAAAATTGTTTGCAGTTTCATGTAAGGCGGTCTCTTCAACTCGATATAGCATATTATTTGTCTATAAAATTACGTTCTTTTTTTTACAGAAGAGAAGAATCGATCAATCGATATTTAGTGTATCTTTTTGTTTGTAAATTAATAGTAAACTAGTATTAAAATAGTAGCGCGTATTCGCGCGTATCAAGTTTCTATAAAATACAACCTGTCACAGAATTCACACCGTATGGAGGCGCGGCACAGATTATACATCCTGATGGCCGCTCGTGCAATAAATATTACAACCTTTGATCGCGACATTTGATAAGCAAAACGATCGATAAATTATCGACAATGAAATATAACAATTACTGTAGAATAGCCTGCGAGCGTTGTTTGCATTTTTATCAAGCCGGATACGAGAATAAATCCTGAACGAGCGTATACATATGTATGCGTATACGTATGACCCAAGAGGTTCCGCCTCCGACGACAGTGAACGGTAAGATCTTATATACCAGTAAAACTTTTAAATTGTAACCTGACCGCCTTGAATAATTTTGTTGCTGACGAATCGATGCACGTTATTTTGCATTATACGTATGCACCTACAGCGTAGATAGACGTTCTTCCGTAAAATAAGTAACGTTAAAATAAAACTTGATCCATAGAACTAGTTGATATTGGATATCTACATTTGTGTCTCAAATGTCTTGCTATTCAAGCCGGACTTGACTCAGTTGATCCTTACTGTCTACGCAAAGTATGACTGTTAAACTCAAGTAACATATTGTAAAATAATTAATAAAAGATTTTCTAACATTAACATAATCTGTTATACATACATATGCAAGTAGATTATTAGCTAAAAACATACTAAAATAACACAAACATATATTATTTTGGTTATTAGCCAATTTAATGATCAGTTATTAAAGTAATATTTAAATTATCTTCTTAATTCGTTGGTGAAAAAAAATTAATGCTTAAAAAGAGACTCTTTTCTGAAAAGAGAATAATTGATGATGACTTTAATTGGTGACATGCTCGCAAATGCGATTTATTGAAAACACCTTCGACTCTCAATGGAGAACAGATGTCACGGCGCAGTCTCTCTCTTTCTCACTATCTTGGGGTCTATATATATATGTTTTGATTTTAAATCACTTTCAGGGACCACACAGAGACGGCACTGCGACCTTGAGTAAACGTTAGTAGAATTGCTATGTTCTTGCTATCGTTTTTCATCGAAAGCATATGCCGTTACGTTACGTGAGCGACGTTTCCAGAAAAAAAAAACGTGAACAATCGAGTTTTAATATAGTTTTTAGTTTTATTCTATTAAATTTTTCTTCAAATAAAAGTTGTTTAATGACGTAACAAGCTATAATTGAAAAAAATTCAAGGTTATTTATTATATAACCAACCTTTAATTTCTTTGAACGCAGTGACGTTACTTCTTTCTTGCGTGAGCTTACATTTTGCTATTGTGAAAGACAGTTCTTTGTGTTACCGTTATATAATATATATTCTACAGATATACAGAATATTATCTGCATATATCTACATATAACAGAAGATTATCTGCACATATCTACATATGTGCAGATAATATTCTGTATATCTGTAGAACATATATTATATAACGGTAACAAAGAACTGTCTTTCACAATAGCAACATGTATATTTTTTTCTAGTACGCATAAGTGTATCATATATTTAATGCGATTTTGCGCATATATTACACAGTAAAAAGGAAAATGTTAATTTTAGTGAACTTGGGACATTTTGTTTACACCATTCTAAATTTTAAGTTGAATTAATTCATTTGTCATGTTACTTATTGACAAACTAGTAATGTTAAGTAACTGACATAATACTTTACATTTATATTTGTTATTTTGATGTTTTTTTGTATTAAATTAACACATGATAATAATTATGGTAATTTTGATTATTTTAGTAAACTCGATTATTTTTGTCAGAGTTCATGATTATTTTTAGGTTTATTTTAACTTTTCTTAAAATGTTTAATTGACTTTGAGACATTAACCCTCGGAGAACACACTGGGTCAATTTGACCCTGTTCGTCGACTTTGATCAAAATATTTTGCTTCAATTTTGCTTTTTTGTAACATATTTTTTACAATGTTAATAATGTTAACGACACTTTAAAACTATATAGGCATATTCCAAACTGTTCAAAATATATTCGAAAATTTTTTCAAGCCAATCGGATAAGTGCATTTTAAATGGTAGCATCTCAAAAAGCGGACAGGGTCAAATTGACCCAGATTGTTCTTCTTGATTGAAAAAATAGGTGTGTTCCCCGAGGGTTAATTGAAATACTTGCGTTAAAAGCGTTCAAAATAATATTTCATTTTTACATGACACACACAAAATATTAAATTATAAAAGTGACATAAATCTAACACATGAAAACGTTACAAAAATAATAACGTATCAGTTGTATGTCAATTTTACATTAAAATAATAATCAAACAACGATGTAACACAAGAAAATTTTAATATGTGAACGCACGATTTTTTAGTGTGTAAATATAAGTGTAAGAATAAAATTCGTCACGTAAGGAATTTTATACAAAAATAATCAAAGAAAAAACGAACAAAAAACCAGTCAAGTTTGTTAGACAAAATTTAATAAATTGTAACTAATCTCGAATAGTAAAAAAATACAGAGTTAAATTATAAAAACAATTGATAGCTAATGTGTGTTTACCATTAATGCTATTGACATTTAACTAAACATGAGCATGATCGCGTGATACAATCAAACAAACATTTGTTTCATTGAATTGAACACGGCAATTAACGGCGTTATTTGTATTCGTCGCGTATATCACACGAGATCTGCACTTTATGCGTGCATTACATCAGAACGAAGTATGCAAGTATCTATTTAACTGCACCTGCAAAAAGTCTCGCGCAGTTTCGCTAATTCTGTTCCGCTTCTGTTGTTTTGCTCGTATAAAGATATCACGTTTAAATTTCGCTTTAATTATTGCACAAAAAATTTATTGTGAACGCGTATGCCGCGCGCGATTCTACAACACAATCAATGAAACATAAGATTTGCACACTCGTGTCATTTGAAATATCGAACGTAATTAAAGTTAGGTGAAACGAACGAGACTTACACTCTTGTGGCTCTACACAACACACAACACGCGTCTACATCATAACAATCTATTTTTATCATTGGCGCTTCTTTCGATGCATCTTCTCAAGACGCGTTTCTAAATTCATCAAATGCTAAGATTAAATAGACGAGATATCAACATTAATGTTTGTCACTATTTAGATCTACAATTTATTATATGACACGAATATTTTGTTGATTAAAAACGGGAGCAATTAGCATCATAATATAAAATGCCTTGAATTTAGCAAATTAATTTTATTTTTAACAAGGAGAATTTGATTTTCTAATGTCTATCTCTTAATTATTTTCACTGACATCTGTGTATCACGTGTTTTTTTGACGTTTTGTCATGTGTACACTCACACTAAATAATAAAGTAATTTTGTTTTTATTTTATATTTACTGTGTGTGTGTGTACACATCACACTATCAATTGATCGTAGTGCGGTAGTACATATAATTAACCGTAATAATAAACCCCTGGCATTTAGCATGTTTTTTCCCTTCGGTTTTTACAGAAACGGCTGATGTTCCCACGAAAATTGATATTTTTTATTAAGTAAATCGTAGGTACATATTGATAGACACTCGAAAGACACTAAAAAGAAATGCTGGAAGTTTTTCAACATTTTTCTAATATCTTAAAGTTGAGCGTCGAATGCCAATGATTCGGGAATTCACTATTAAGGTTAAAAAAAAAAAAAAACGGTTATAACATTCTATATTAACCTCGTAGAAAATTAGCGCTATAAAAAATCAGAATTTTACGACACAGGTTTCTTTTTTTCGGTGATAACTTTTTCATTGTGTTACATTATTTATACGTACTTGTCAAGAAAAACGGAGTGTTTTGTCTAATCAGTTTTTCGACGATTTTCTTTAGAAAACACGATGTGCCCTGTGTCCCCTTTAACATGTACACAAGCCAACTACACACTGGCAGTGTGAGGATGATCGTGCATTAGAGAGGGTTATTACTATCTAGCAACATAATACATATGAGGCTCCCTCGGTCTATTTTTCCATTAAATTTGATTAGGAAGCGAGATCTGTGGCTTTCAGCAGTGGTCTCTCTCTTTTGATACACTTAGAACACAAGCTGTTATTCCATGAATATTCAACTACATGAACCAACAGGCTCATTGCGCACGACATAGTTTCAGCAAAACAAATCAAGAGAACAGAGTATTTAGCTCGTATAATTTTTGGTATTTTACATACATGTATGTATATATAAAAAAAGCTTTCTTAGTTGGCGTTACTTTTGGTTTTTTTGCAAAAAAGATTTTATAGAGAAAAAAATGCGATCTACTTTATATAAAGATTTTTTTTATATCAAGGTGATATTTCCTCAGAAATATTTCACATATTCTATTTATTATATTTTTTATTAAATAAATATACATTGCAACTTTTTCATAAAGACAAGTTTGATGAATGAAACATGAGATTGAGAGAAGATCTCGCACTTGCAACTAAATTTTTATATTATGACAACATATTACATAGGATCGTTATATATTTACGACCCATTCCGCATAACAGCTAACGGGCGCAAACACACTTGAAGCTACGACATGACTCACTTGATCGTTTTTATTACATTAACGCTTAACCTGCTACATCGTTTGACATTTGTTTGTTTCAACGATAAATTACAATTATTACAAGTGTATATGTTTTTCGTATTTCTTTGTTCACTATATTCAATTCGCAGAAATAATTTTAATAAAATAAATTACAATAAAAAGTTAATCAATTTATATCTTAGTATAAATAATTACACTAATGTAAATTAAAGATTTAGATAATTATGCAAATCTCATTGCGTGGACGAGTGCAATTTAATTAACGTTTAGTCACACGTGTACAATGTGCGAGATAATGTAAAATATAAAATATCAAATAATTATGATGTGATTAATCGTCTTGCCTTTCAAATTACCGTGTTATTATCTAATAACTCACCTATTTACTGAATTTATTACACGATACAAATATATTTCTTTATATCTGCTTTTTTGCATAATCATTTTTGCATTATGCATACGAATATCGTGCATATTTATCCTCTAATATCTTTTAGCTGCTTTTTTTTATTATGATAGATAAACGGTAATAAGTACTTATCTAGTTATACGAGAGGCGATCATGTAATATCAGACTAATCTCAGAAGCTCGCACAACTAGTTTGATAGCAAAATAAAAAACTACCGTTTGTGACGTACTAAAATGAATACGCAAGATATTATGTATTAGTTACAATACATAATTACCATATCATTAGATTATTTCGAGACGAGAAATTTATTGTGTTACATTCGAGATATATTGCGTTTATCTGATAATAATATTTGTGTCTTACGTAATTAGTTTATAAAAGAGAGAGAGAGAGAAAAAGAGAGAGAGAGAGAGAGAGAGAGAGAGAGAGAGAGTGAGAGAGTGTAAAATTTTATTATGAGTGTAATATTTTATTATGTTCAACTTTGATATTGAAACAATAATAAAAGAAAATGTTTCATATAAATAAATATGAAGCGTCAAGAGATGTGTATTTGTGTATGTACGAAACAGATTGTAACTCAAAAGTGTAACTAGGAGAATGCTTTTGAGGAATCTTCCTGTCAAAAAATATTACAATAGCTAATTTGAGATAATAAATTCCGTAGATAATTTCTCTAATAATGCACGTTATGTAATTATGTTATGTATGTGTGTCATTCCTTCGTCTATTTTATTTTTTATTCGCTAACTGATTATTCACTTCTCGATGCGTGTATAATCGGTAAGTAACATGTTTCACGATAGAACGGACTAAATTCATAATTCAAGATTGTTTTATAAACATATAGCAATATGTAAATTACCTTTGACTTGAGATCACGTGTAAAAACAACTGCACGAATAACACCGATTATCTTTACATTACAGAAAAATTACAGTAATAAATAAAAAAATGTTGAGTGTTAAAAGAAATCTTATTTAAATTGAGATAGATATATGTATGGCTCTATGGGGCAGACACGGATGTCGATGTGTGTGTTCAAAATTTAGTTTATTGCGATAAACTGTACAGTACAAAGCTTTCGACCTTTGGTTTAGGTCTTTCTCAATGTAATAATTAGACTCGCAAAAAAGAAGAAGAAATAGTGACGGTCGTCGTTAAGTGGTGATTAGTAGTCAGATAGTGAGACTAGAGGTTCGACCATCACTTTACAATATAAAGAAGCGACTCAGTCTTAATAAGAATTTCTGGAGCTGATTATTTCAAACTTCATTATTTATAAATTGAGATACACGTAATAGCGCATATATATACTTTTTTCAATAATCTCATATTTAATTAAAAACTTTTTTTGATTTATCTTTTAGTTAGCATTCTCGCTGATCACATTGAAAAACGATACCAATCCATTTTGACAGAATTAATTAAAAAACAAATTACTTAGACAAACTAAAATATTCAATTCTGTGTATGTAGTGCTGAACTGATCATATGTCACAAAAATACAAATAAAATAACAATTAAGACTATTACAGAGCGTATACACTCACATACACACATACACATGATAAAAATACTTATCTGATGTACAGTAGAATCGAGATCGTCGAGATCAGCCATGTTTAGTTTCTTTGTTTTTAGAAAGTAGTAATTTTATTAAAACGCATGACGTTTAAAGTAATCAGAAATGTGATATCAAGGTTTGATTACATTCATTTGTTGTTTTTTTTTCTCTGTATCCAGACGCCTACACGCGCGCTGTTAAGCGTATCGTTACGTTACTTCACGCAATGACACAGTAAATATAACATTTGATACGATAGGATCTCCGATGCAATCACCGTAGCAGATACATAATAAAACGTCCTCGTGTGCAAAATAAAGTTAATATAGAATTAGTTTCTGTCTTAAGAAAAGTTGTAACTAACTTTTGCCCGGTATGTTTTCGAATAACACTTATTTTCCACGTAACGCGGAGAGTGTAAAATGCGTTTAAGGAAACTGTAGAAGACGCGAAATTTGATAGTCACAATCAATGTTATTCAGAAACCTAATTCCGTTGTCTTGGTGCGTTCTAGGCAAGTGACGTTGCGCAGTTTATTGTGTCGTGCGAAGCATACGATTATCTCTCTCTGTATATATCTATCACTCCGCCAAGGATGGAAATTACTTAGATCGCGCGTTCTTTCCACTCTTGATACAAATTGCCTTCTTCATGCAAATCCATACTTCTTTATGCATAACGATGGAAATTTTGTTTGTTTTTTGCAATAGAGTGACTAGACTCAATATAAGCACAACGTTTCCGTTTATTAAACGACCGACACACGCGAAGCAAAAAACATTGGCGGCTTTCTCAGAATCTTGCTTTGTTTCACAAAGTAACAGTCTTGTTACATGTGAATAGATATTGAAACAATGAAATGTGTTCAATTTGCCACATAAGAAACTCAGGAGCATCTCCGTTTAAAAAAAAGCCACTGTCACCACAAAGTACGTGCGAATCGTATTTCGTTTATTTTCTGTGTTCCGTAATAGTTCCGCTCTATGAGAAACAATAGAGATAGTAAAAACTGAATGAGATTGAAAACGGACTTTAATTGGCTATCATCTTCTTATGTTTTTTTGTTTTTGTTCTATTCTGTTATTTTGTTTTTATCGGGACGCACTCTTAGGGCTATTCTACAATGAGTTGAAAATGTCCCGTCGCCAATTGCAACTACTAGGGAAAAAGTATTATTTTACGTGCTGCGGTTGTCAGTTGCTGTTGACAAAAGTTGTTGACCAACTCTCTTTTAGCAACCGCAACGACAAAGCGCAACCAGAAATAATACTTTTCTTTTCGTAATTGCTACTTTTCGCAACTAGCAACAGGACATTTTCAACTCATTGTAGAATGACCCTTAGACTTCTATAAACAGGACGCGTCACACGTTACTCGCGGCTAGAAGCGACAGCCAATCAATATGCTGCTTTTCTATAAAAGCAAAATGCTGATTGGCCATCGCGTTGTTTCTTCGTCACATATTGACGCATTCTGTCTGTAGGCGCCACAATAATTTCTGGTATATAGGGATTAGTGTAGTTGGCAATTATGACGTTTGCATTTGCGTTGGCATCAATGTTAACGATGGCGACCGTCGGTGGCAAGCGAAGTCTTGATTGGCTATCAAAAGTTGTTTACGTTAAGAAATTACAGTTCGAAGCAGTTCGAAAGTTAACACGCCAGGCCAGTAGAAGTCAGCCAGAACCAGTCAACATTGGGTTCTCCGTATTTTTGCTTCAAGTCTATCTCAATCAGATTTTATAATGGTGCGATATACTGCTCTCAACGGTTTGTACGAATTAGAGAAAACAATTGGCAGCGGTGGTTTTGCCAAAGTCAAACTCGCAACTCACGTTGCCACCGGCGAAAAAGTTGCTATCAAAATCATGGAAAAAACAGCGTTGGGTGTAAGTGTGATCATTCAAAACACTGTCATTTATACGTTGACGCAAAATGATTAAACTGTCACGTGTGTTATATGCAAACATACTATTCAAGTTAATATATATATTGAAACAACTCACTCTGTGATATATACTCTATTTATGGTTTTATTGCTACTAAAAACATTAATTTAAATGTGAAACATGTGACACAATCTGCATTTAAATTTTAAGATATACATGCAACACAATCTCACAAAGTTTTATATTTTCTTTTAGTTAATCTATGAAAAACAAATTTTAATTCAAATTCTGTCTCGTACTTTTTACTCAAGTACACATCTTAGTTTTGTATAAAATACATTTATTTTGCACTATTTCAGGAAGATTTACCAAGAATAAAACTTGAAGTAGAAGCACTCAAGACACTACTTCATCAACATATTTGTAGATTATATCAAGTGATAGAAACTGAAAGTCATTATTTTATGATATTAGAATATTGTTCTGGTGGAGAATTGTTTGATCATATAGGTAACATTAAAAACTCCTGCATATATATAAATATATAACAAATATAATACAAAATCTACTTTATAAGAAACTTATAAAGATCACAGATAAAGATATTATATTATCACATAACTAAATAAGTTTGCTCAGTTTTTTATATTGAAATTTATGTGCAAACTTATTTAGCTGTTCTGTAATAAGTTTTTATGTCTTTATTTTACAGTGGAGAAAAACAGATTATCAGAAACTGATTCTCGTAAGTTCTTCCGTCAGATTGTTTCTGCTGTGGCATACATGCATAGTTTGGGATATGCTCATAGAGATCTAAAACCTGTAAACATATATTTTCTATTTCTCCTAATATTTATTGTTATATGAAAATTAATTATTTCTTTTGTTTTCTTGACAGGAGAATGTTCTGTTAGATAAGGAAGAAAATTTGAAATTAATTGACTTTGGTCTATGCGCAAAACCTAAGATGGGAATGCAAGCACATTTGTATACATCTTGTGGTTCTCCTACATATGCTGCACCAGAACTCATAATGGGAAAGAAATACTTAGGTAAGTAGTAAGTTTCTAAGATTCTAAATACTTTTATATTTTTTATGTAATTAAAAATTAAATATTGTGTAGTTTATATATATATATTGTGATGTATTATACAATATTTATTAATAATAAAAAACTTTGCAGGATCAGAAGTAGATATTTGGAGCATGGGAGTTCTTCTTTATGCTTTATTATGTGGGTTTTTGCCTTTTGATGACAATAAGTTAGAAAATTTGTATAAAAAGATACTTGTAAGTTAAAAAAATTGCGCAATTGTGCAATAATGTATTTTTATTTCAATTGTTTGCATTATTTGTTTCATTTCTATTGATTCTGATTTCTCTCACACAAGTATATAAATGATTTCAGAGTGGCAAATATGAAGAACCAAATTGGTTGTCAAATGACAGTAAAAAATTAATCAAATCAATGTTACAAATTGACCCGGCAAAGAGAATTACTATTCACGAATTGACATATCACCCATGGATTACGGCACATTCTATGAAGCCTGTATCGTTTGTTCAACAAACAAAAGTAAGTATTTATTGGGCAAGAAAAAATAATGTTATAGGTTTAAAAACTTTAAAAACCTTTTTACTCTTCTAGTTTGAAAAGGATGAAGAAGTATTGAGTACAATGTCTGCCATTTGTGGCGAAAATAGCGCAGACATATGGAACAAGCTTGTACGTAGTGATAGAACTGATTATAAAACAGCTACGTATTTGTTGTTGCTAGACAGAAAGTTGCGTGGACTTTCGTTGAAAGTAGCAACTGCAACAAGATCTTATATTAAGCAAGAAATGGTAAAGCAAGCATCTTTATATAAAAATAATATCCTAAAGATAAATATTTCCAATTAATATGTATCTAATTGTACACAAACTGTTTCTTATATAGAATGGCGCGAATGTTCCACGTGAAATAGTGATCAACAACTTTATAACTAAACTCGATAATTCTCCAAGAAGTCGAAAAAATAATGCGCGGTCTTCAGTAAATGATGTTACTTACAATGTTTTGCCCAAAGAGAATGATAAAAATAACTTTACAGAACCATATGTACCGGCACGAAAAAGATTACGAAGCAAGGAACTCGATGATGTGACATCACCTGGTAAATACTTTATCTGCTATTTTTAAATAAAAATTAAAGTATACAGGGTGTATTAGCAGGCAGAAGAACGGGATTCTTTGTGAAAAAGAAAATATATTTTTTAAAGTTTTGTAAAAAATTGAGATATTTTTATACAAATTTTGTTTTCAAGAAAATGAAAAATTTAACAATGGAAAAATTAACAACATTTACAGACACATTTTATATTTCAGTTTATATTTCAAACAACCTCTAATAACTGCATATCATATAAATTATCATCGCATGTGATATATGATCCAATATTTCTATAGTAATAATTAATAATAAAAATAAAAGTGTTATTTTTTTTGGAAAAAAAACTATGAAGTTTTAACTGTTAATCTGTATTGTCTTAATATTTTATTTTATTTTATTTCTTCGGAAAGTTCTTACACATTTCTAAAAATTCTAGTTTTAGCATTATCATATTTATTGATTATAGTTACGTACAATTGCTTATTGAACTTGTTTAGGTTTAAGTCGCAATTAGTCTCGTAGTACAATTTCTAAAGTTTATTTCTGATTGAAGAGATGTCGCTAGCACCATCTAATTAGAAACTTTAATGAAGATTTCCGACTGCTATAAATTACAGTAGTCTCCGTGAAAAGTAGATAATTACCTTGACAAGAGTAACGACTTGCTAACAAACGCAATTTGGACTTAAGACTCTCCATGTTCACAAAGTCTTTTTAAAACTTCAGGGAAAGTGCGCTATTCCTCAAGTACTACTACAAATCCGAGTTCTTATTTTTTACTATTCACAAGTCATTAAGGCTATATGTAGACAAAAATTAAAATCTATGAAATTTGAAAACATAAATATGTATTTTTTAAAATGGTTTTTGAATTAAATAAACAAGTTTTTGTTTTACACAGTTTTTGTTAATGTGATAAAAAAAAATATATATAACAATATGATAATTCACATTTATATTAAACTAACATTTATATTAAAAACAATTTATATTTAAACAAAATAATAAGCGTAAATATGAAATAACAAAAACAAATTATAAAATTTATACAAGAATGATGTCAAAAAACACTATCTCTTTAATAATATGTTTACAGTTCCAGCAAAACGACAGCCTGAAAATAGAACAGTTAATACTCCAACACAATCGTTAACACCGGATTCTAGGTAAATTTACTAATATAAAAAAATAATAAAGTATTTATCTTGTGTAATAATGATATAATTTTAGAGCTCCACAAGCATCTACACCAGGTAGTGCAAGAAAAGTTATGTTGGGATTAGAACGAGGATTGAATCGCGTACGACACGTTCTCACACCGAAAAGACGATTAAAAAACGAAAATACGGATCCTGATGAACCAAATATATTGTCGGGAAAGGTATAATCCACATCTACAGATATTATATATATATGAAAATATTGATCAAAGAAGATAATGTTAACTTTTTTTGTAAGAAACTTATAAAGATCACAGATAAAGATATATTATCATATAACTAAATAAGTTTGCTCAGTTTTTACATTGAAATTTATGTGCAAAACTGCACAAACTTATTTAGCTGTTCTATAATAAATTTTTATGTCGCCGGCATTTTTTTATTAAAAACATGGTATTTTTTTCATATTTGTATATAAATTGAGTTTATTATATTGCGTGGAGTACCTTAAATTTCATCTGGCTCCGATCAGTGCCAGACCGGCGGGGGACGAAAGTAAAAAGTATCAAATTTTCAAATTTTGAAAAATGATGTTTCTAAAGAATTTTCATATCGCTGGTTACGTTTTTGAAATCAAATTGCAAAAGTCTTTCAATACAGTAGCATTATTACTAAGCTAATCATATATAAATAAATTTTGTATCTTAGATTACTGCTAATTCGAAAATTAAACTACACCGTTTAACAACATATTTAGATTTTCTAGATATTTTTTTTTCACAAATCAAATCAGATGAAAGAGAACTCTTTTCTAAAATACGATATAATATTAGCGTCCCAATAGCGGTGCCATACGGCATCATGCCGGCAGTCTAAAGGTTAATGTTAATGAATGTTACTTTGTATCCAAAGGGTCTTTCTAACGTGTCTGCGACATGTAGCGGCTGCCCGAAGTATGTCCTTTCGAAACTACGACGAGCACTTCGGCGAAAGGGTATAATGTGCCGTCAAAAAGGGTAAATTTATATAATTTTACTGTACAAGTTACATGTAGTTCTCAATTTTATTACATTATTAATATCACCATAGATTTATTCTGCAAGGAGAAACTGAAGAGTTCTTTTCGGAAGTTAAGAAAGATCCGTTGAAGCCGATTTCTTCTCAAAATTCTTGTTCCTTCGAACTGGAAGTTTGTCTCTTGGAAATCAGTCCAAACGATAAACGACTAGTCGGCATTCGTCGGAAACGACTAAAAGGCGACGCATGGGTATATAAGCGCGTTTGCGAAGAAATTCTCGCTTTAACAGCTGAAGATATTTCTACAGATCCAGAGGGTTCCTCTGAATCCAAATGTCCTATCTGAATCTTATAGTTAAAATGTGTGTGTAAATTTCTCACCGTTTATTCTTAATTTGATTGTGAGAAAACTTAGACAACATACATGTAAATGTTTAACAATGTCTCAAAAACAGCTAAAAATTATTTGATATTTTTATACGCTTTTGAGAATTTGTTTAAACAAACGTATATTATTTTCTCACATGAATGAGTCGTATAAAAAGTTTTTGCAGGCTCTTTTCTACATGGAAGAAAATCAGTACCATCACATGACACTGGAACGGTTAATACAGATGTTAATAAGATTTCTGTTTCATTTAAGAAAAAACCGATTATATGTATGTGCAACGAGTAGTTATAGATTTTATAATGAGAGGATATATATCATGCAATTTTTAAATATACCTACTCAAATGTATAATTAGTAAAAAGTTAAATATTGTATAACTAGTATAAAACAAATTATTTTGATGTAAGATATTTTTATTTTTCCAGAGATAAAATTATGTATAAGTATAAATAGCTGTTAAAAATAATACCTGAGGGGTACAGGTTATAATTTATATACAGGCAAAATAATAATGTGTCAGGAAAAGAGAGGAGAAAGAATATTTAATAAAACTATAATTATATATTTATGTGTATGCGCATGCACATACATGTACACACATATATTTTTCTGTGTTTTTTTTTTAACTGTTTACATACTTTCAAAACCAGAACATTGAAGCAACTATCAAGAAACGTTATAGCGAAAGGCTAATATTTTTGGACGATATCAAAGGACGAGAGATTTTCAGCCGAATGGATCAAATAATAAAGAGCATTCTTCGCAACGTTTTATAGAAGATTTCAGAAGTGTCGACGATAGACATTAGGAAATAAATAATAATCAAGAGATGTGCAGAAAGTCACGATATTCGATAACTTTAACAGAGATATAAAGGTATACATATTTATTGACCTGCTTATCGATATTCAGACGTCTATGTGTGACATATTTACACACATTGTATGTCAAATTTTTAATATCATATACCAAAAACGATCGACCTTGATATATCCCCACTGAAAAATACTCGACTCGAAGAAATAGACTAGAATGTGAGCGACACAAAGAGAAATTTTCTGCGCTTCGAGTTTTGCTCGTCTCTTTTTGTCTGGAATATGTAAAGCTCAATTTTGCGTTTATACCGCCGATCTAAAATATCGCGGCCCGTTTGAACCAGCCCGGCATCGCCACCGCGAGTATAGACAGGCAAAGATATAAAATCACCACAAATCGATCAGCATAAAGGGGAGCCGCGCGTTTGCTTCGCTTTTGCTTTATGGGGAGGCATACCGACCTTTTATCTTTTCCCGCTCAATAATCGCCGGGTCTTCCCTTAGTACGTAGGTTGGTATTCCTCTTTTTCGCGCGCGGTCCATCCCGATGCAGTTGAATCGGTCGCCGTTTTTTCTCTCTTACCGATTCGGTACGTACCAATACGAGACAAAGCCCGGTTGTTGCGGCCTCTGTCTTGCACAATCGCTGTATTTTCGCAACGCTCAAAACATGTACAAGTTACCAATCTCCTCCCTTTTTTTTTCTCCCCAGAAATTGCAATAACACAATGTCATATCGTCGGCTGCGGTATCTTTTGAAATTTATACCGGAAATTTAAACAAAATAAAATTGGAGAGAAAGGAAGAAGAAAGACAGAGAAAGAAAATGAAGATTGAGCAAGAAAAAATGTTATAAATGAAGTATACACATACGTATAAAACTTTGCACACAAAAAAATGCCGTTCTCAAAATTTTACTTAATGTATATATAAAATTATATTTAAATATAGATCAAATTCTGAATCTACATTCGCGTCTCTCTCCCGAGATGCTTTTTCGAGGAAAATCCGATTAAAAAAATATCCCGCGGGAAAAAGAGAAACGCACACTTCATATCGACGAGAACAGCAGTAAAAACAGCGGCAGCACGAACTTTACGAGCCGAGGAAGGGAGAAGTCCTTATGCTAGCTTGTGAACTGCTTCGAGTCAGGCGAGCTCGCGAGAGGTAAATGTAAGTGTATGTATAAAGTCACGCATACGAAGAAGTAAGAGTGGCACGCGCAGCCCGCTTCTATCGCTTCCGGGCATCAACGTGCTCGCGAACTGCGGCTAATTGCTCTTTAATGCAGGCGAGCGAGCGCGAGCGAGCGAATGCGTTACTCTTTTCTTACATATATGTGTCCAAGAAAATCCATCTTAAACGACGTTGCTAATGACGAAACTGTTTTTAACACGTTCGCGACGGGCCCTGATTGAATGAAGGGAAAATGTACCACCGGTGGTACAACCCGTCGCGAACGTGTTAACGAGTGATAATTCTTTTTTTACTTTTTTATATTATTATAAAATCTCAATGATCTGAGCAAAAGAATGTTTGATACATTGTTTAGAGAATTGTCTACGTTTGCACACATGTATGTTCTTTGTTTAATAATTAAAACCTTCATATCGCGTTATATACGTAGCTTGCACAGGAAATGCCGATCATTCGGCTTATTCGTGTTTTTTTTTTTTTTTTTTTTTTTTTTTTTTTTCTATTTCTTTCGGAGTCGGTCCTGTTTATTCACGGGAGGAAAGGGTGTGCTGGTGAAAATAAAGGGCAGAAAGCTCCGGATTTGTCGAGGCATGACCAATGCATCCACCACAAGCTCATACATATGTACGCAACTCGGACCGGACAGTAGCGAGCAACCCTTCTTCTCCTCCTCTTCCTCTCGGACTCACTCCCATAGAGAGGACCCTCCGGAAAAATGAATATGCAGTCGTGTGAGATGGTATTATTTTATAAAATTTATCCCGTGCCCTTACATTATCCACCTTCCTGCCAACCACATCTACCTAATTCGCCGCGAGTTTTTCACGATAACTTAAAACAACGTACTTCTTTTATACTTTTTTCTTTCTTCCTCCCTCTATATAAGAAATATATAATAAATATTTTTTTAAATTAGCAAATCTCTTTAAAATATGTATGTAGTTTTTTTCAATTAGCTAAAAAATCACCTATTCTGCTACAAATTAAAATCTGACTGTTGATATTTTTATTCGAGCCTGTAATTAGTATAAAAAATTCAGATAAAAATCGCCGCATATGTATGCTAAAATATATTTAAAAAAATATTACATTTTTTTTTATTTTATGATAGGGATATAATATTTAAGTTAAATATAATTCTATTTTTTCTCTATTAAAGGTTAAATATGATTTTTTAAATTCTTTTTTTAATTTGTATTTGAATATAATAATATATAATTAAATAAAAGTTCAATTTGTTGTGCACAACGTGCTGACTATGTTAAAAAGGATCTATTTATAGATCCGTCTTTAACGATTCTTGTCTTAGTAATTATTACTTTCGATGTTTTCTTCGCAACCCCACCTGTTTCATAACACTTCCTCTCGTCTGACAGGGTGGTGCTTCTGAAGCAGAGTCTAATTACGACGAGTCACTCACGAGCGTAACCGCTTGTGGTTTTTCAAATGTGCTTGGTGCACGTGGGGCTGTGCGTACTTCTGGCACTTGTATAAAACTGTAGCCCTTTATCTCTTCGTAGAGGAAACGAAACATTAAATCGACTCTGGCCAACGGGGGCGGGCTTGTTTCGGTGAGGTGCGTCTGAGATTTCCTGTGTGGACGGTGGATGTGTAGTAGAAAAAAATGGTTTCCTATTATATAAAGGGTGCGTCCTCGTATATGTCATCATCAATCGCTCGATTTATACATATAGAAAAATACATATACATATAGAAATAGAATATACATACATGTGTAGAATATACATATACATATAGAAAAATTCTTCGCGTAAAATAAAAAAAATATATTTTCCATACAAGTTTAGGTACACACACACACACACACACATATATACATGTATGCACGCTCATATTAAATTTTTATTTAATTATATCATTTAAACAAAAATTAAAAAAAGAATTTAGAATTATATTTGTATATTTAACTACTTAAATACTATACTCTTATAGATATTATAAAATAAAAAAAGAATGTAGTAATATATTTTATGTAGCATACATGTGATAATTTTTTCTGAATTTTTTATGCTAATTACAAGCTCAAATATTAAAAATATCAAAGTAGATTTTAATTTGTAGCAGAATAATTTTTTAGTTAATTGAAAAAATACACATATTTTAAAGAGATTGGCATATTTTAAGAAATATTGACTATCTATTTCTTATGTATAGAGAAGAAGAGAAAGATATATATATATATAACTTTGGGTTTATGTAAAATATCGTTGTCTCAGAACTAATAATCATTGATTTTCCGTGAACGATAGAATCCTCAAGTGACGATCTATGTAAACCGACAACAATCTTAGTTCGACTTATGCTAAGTGCTTGTACAAAATGACAAAAAACCGCATTTTATAGCCTTTCTTTTACTCTTGCGCTCGCGAACCATCTGTCGCGTTATCTAAACAACTTTATTATTAATGCAGCAGTAGCCCCGCATTACTAGGTATTTGTATATAATGGTTTGCTACGTACATATGTAATATATAACGGCCACTGGCCACACATACGGTCGGTGATATTATAAGATATGAACCAATCGCCGCGATTGTATGGAAATATGTATCTATGAATGAAGACACTTTCATTTATGAAACCAGATACTTATGTACCGGACACGGGCGTGTAACATCCTGCTATTATGTGTCCTTACCTCTACCTATTCTTTCTCTTTCTCTCCCTCACTCACTCACTCGCTCACTCATTTTTTCTCCTTTCGTTCCCTCGTTCTAATCTTTGCCATGAGACCATCTTTAGCGTTCGCGTTAGACACAGTTACATTAATATACCATATCGATCATAGACATAGTTACATCGCTATATATCATATCGATCATACTTGTAACTAAATATTTCTTCATTTTCTGTAAATTTTTTCAAGCATTATATTACACTCTATGTGTGTGACTCTGTTTTTTCTTTTCAACATTTGAAGTTTTATCCGCAAGGCTTTTACCGACAAAATTATATTGTCAATTAACACGTTTCTTATAAATATTATTGAGTTAATAGATTTTCTTTTCGTGGAAATCTTGTGATAATTTTTTTTTTTTTTTTTTTTTTTGTACGTGCCGATTCTGAAGCAACGCACAACCCTTTCGAGGAGACGGACAAGAGAGGAAGAGGTGAATGAGCGGATAGATAGCGCAGGAGGGAAAGGAAAGAACGAGGCTGAATGCGCCGACTGTGACGCTTTCCGGTCAGGTGCCGCCCTGACGACGCTTCTCCTTTCAATTTCCACGTCGAGATCTGCTCGCTCATTCACTTTGCCCTCCCTCGTGTTTTGTCTGCCCCTCATTCTTCGTTCGGACATCGTTCACCTCCTCCCTCACGAAAAACGAACTTTTTCTTCGCAGAACAACGCAAG